ATACTTAAGCCCTAAATGAAGCAAGTCTAGATTTCCTCACCTCACATCTAACTGGGGTTCCTTTTCAAGTTAAGAGGAAGTGTTTGTTTCTACCCAAATTATATATACTCACTGTGACTAAGCATTAGTCTACCTTTTGATCTGTTCCAGATGTGTGTCTGTGTGTGTGTGTGTGTGTGTGTGTGTGTGTGTGTGTGTGTGTGTGTGTGTGTGTGTGTGTGTGTGTGTGTGTGTGTGTGTCTGTGTGTGTGTCTGTGTCTGTGTTTTGTTTCATACACTGAAAGGACTCATGAAGATTTATGTTAGAATTGATCTTCAGTAACCCTTGCTTATCTTAAGAGGTTACTGATTGGGTGGTCAGGCTCACAACCTTCGTGATGCAGAAATAATATCTAATTGATGCTCGTGATATCAATCACTGGATTATCCAGTCTAACCTTGATTACTTACAGACCACCATATAACTTAAACATTGCTGATGGCGGCACTGACTGAGCGATTGACTGAGGTGGGTTTTACACGCTTTTAGAGGTGGAGAACACCAGAAATGGGCTTCACACATTGTACCCATGTGGGGAATCGAACCCAGGTCGTCAGCATGACGAGCAAACGCTTTAACCACTAGGCTACACCACCGCCTCTATTGTGTCATTGAACAAACAAACAAACACATGCACAAACAAACATGATACTAAGTCCTTTGGGCACACCAAGGTCCATATGCACAAAGCAATCTTAGCGTTAAGGTGATCTTAATGCCCACACCTTAACATAGGCTTACAATTGTCATACTGCTAACATCACTTTGTGGAAGTGGGCAGAGAAACCTACAACAACTGGTTGATAAAGAATAATAAACCATGTATATTGCTCCATAGCCATTGCACTTCAAACGCTTGCAAATAGTCATTATAAGTGTCAGATCATATTTCAAAAGTTACTGACATGTGTTTGAAGGAAATCTTTTGTATCACCATAGTTTCATCTTCCCTATATCTATTTTGATAGAGAGCAATTTGAACTTCAGTGTTATTTAAGGAAAAGCCTCATAATCAATAACTGGTGTTGTTAATTTGCATTAAACTTTGTACATCTCATTATTTCCATACCAAATTAAGAATATATTCCTTCATCTATAAAGCCACAATCATATACCGGTATATTTAGTAAGCTTCTCTTCCTCAGGAATGACATTATGTTTCCATTTACAATTCAATTTCACCATTACCAATTTTACAAAAAGACTCACAGAAACATCACAAATATCACTCCCAGCTTTTAAGCTTAGCATTTTTTAAACATATTCCATAATTATGATAAAAAAATCAATATTGTGGTACAATATCTAAACATTTGAAGATATATAGATTAAGATGGAGTTTCAGAAAATATGAAAAATTAAGAAAATGTGGGGTTTTTCTTACGAGATCATGAAAGAGACAGACATGGCAAACGGAAACCTCTTTCCATTGCTTGAACAACTGATTAAATAATCTGTCAATCAATCGATCTCGTTTGTGCCAGCAATTATTAATGGGCTTTGGACAAAGGTATTCATATAGGTATGAAACATCAAAGCAAACTTCAGAAGTATGTTTCATAATGTTATGTTTGCTAGATCAAGACATAAACAACGGATACAGTTTCCTGACTGCAATGTAAAAATGAACCTGTGTGCATATCTCAACAGGAAGTATCCTCGTTTGTCTTGTCCGCGGTATTAATTGGTGCCTGTTTCGTTTGCACAATGTTACGATTGTGTCCTTATCTTGCTCACATGAGTTTCTGGTCACGATTACAATCAATTATTGATCAATTACTAAGCTCCGATTATCGATCTGCGTATTGTGAGTGACAGTCAACACTCTTCTTTCCTTATGTCCATTCCTGTTTAAATACTTGCAGATGGTCTGTGCAGTCAAGAACTGGCCTAGAATGAGCCAGAACTGGCCAAGGGACAAGATAAGAACACAGAGCTCCAGATAAGATTTAGCTCATGTGGGTACTGTACCCACTGTATTTTTTTGGAGTGGGCATTATGTTGAGTGGGTATTTCATTTTCCGTTACCCACTGCTTTCAAATATGTGCGTATTTCAGTCATTTTACTCACCTAAGTATTATGTCATTGAGTAAGTTTACTAAGCAGGTATGTTCTGCCTTATGTCATACCTAATCAAAACCAGCTTAAATATAATGGAAATGATTTCATAAAAAATCACTCATCCTATACTGACAGTACAACACTAGTCCTAGACTAACAGTACAACTTGATAGCAATCGATGTCTTTTTCATTACGCAAGCGATTTTTATAAATATATTCCGTACGCATTTGTTTTAAACTTTTTGCATATCTAACATTTTAAATCTCGCGTGTTGAGTGCGCAACAATTATTTTTCAATGCGTAATTGGAAATTTTCTATGCGTATTTTACCCGGATACGCAGCTAATCTGGGCCACTGAGAACAGACACTGGTCAAACTGAACCTTCCCCACCTTAATTTGAGGGGGAAGGTCTGGCAAGGTGGGACAAAGAAATGGCCCAGGGTCTTGATTCACAAAGCATTCATCATGTTACAAGCTATTGTAACTACGTAGTCTAGTTTTGGCTTACGAGTATCGCAGTGATACCAACGTTTTGTGGATCTATTGTTCACGGGTATAACCAACCTGAACCAAACCTTCCCCTGAGGGCGAGCGAGTGAGTTTAGTTTTACACCGCTTTAGCAATATTCCAGCAATATCACGGCCAGGGATACCAGAAATGGACTTCACACATTGTACCCATGTGGGGAAGAATCCAGTAACCATGGTAACATATGATTGTCATAAAAGTTAATAAATAAGGATTGGGTGACTGGGACATGTGACCGATAATATACCGAGATAATAAAATAAAGGATCACTGGAAAATTCAAATGTTCCTTTATTATTTTCCAGTTTTCATCACCACAGCGCTATTCAAAGCTGGTGATGAAAACTGAAAAATATTAAAGGAATGCGTGTATTTTCCTGAGTTCCTTTATTTGTTTCTCTCAGTATATATATATCATTGTTCCATATATACAAAGTATGACAGTTGTTGTTCATGCTATTTCTCACCATCTCAATGGCTCCGGATGTGATTATTTACAGTCACCAGAATATTGCAGGAATAATGCTGACAGTGGCAATGAGCAGGATTCACTCACTCACTCACTCTAATGTTCTGTGTAGGGCCCTCATCAGACACAGTAATAAACGACCCGTGAAGATCTGGGTAACAATTGATCTTCAGTAACCCATGCTTAAAAGGCGACTAACGGGATTGGGTGGTCAGGCTCGGTGACTTGGTTGACAAGTCATCGTATCCTAATTGTGTAGATCGATGCTCATGCTGTTGATCACTGGACTGTCTGGTCTAGACTAGATTATTTACAAACTGCTGCCATATAGCTGGAATATTACTGAGTGCGGCGTAAAACAATAAACCAAACCAGTAATAAACTCTTCTCTGTACAGCATTCAGGGCGGTGGGGTAGTCTAGTGGTTAAAGCATTTGCTCGTCATGCCGAAGGCCCAGGTTCGATTCCCCACATGGATACAATGTGTGAAGCCCATTTCTGGTGTACCCTGCTATGATATTTCTGAAATATTGCTATAAGCAACATAAAACCATACTCACTCACCCATTCATGGTACAGCATTCTGCAATTTTCAGAGACAGGTATAATAACGACCAGACAATCCAGTGATCGACATCATGAACATCAATCAAAGGCATTGGACATCTGGACATGCAACATGCTGGTCAGACATACTGACCACACAATCCGTTACCTGCCCCTCACATACAAAGTGGGTTCCTGAAGACAAATTCAACCCCGGATTTTCACGGGTCTCTCTGTATAGGGGCCTAAATTAACTGCAGTGATGAACATTCTACTTCAGCATAAGGGGTCACGATGATAACCATTGTATAGCAACACAAAGGACTACCTCCAAGACCTCATGAATCATCTTCACGGACGGGAGAACAAATCCAATCCAGGTATAAAACACTACATCTACAACGTGTGAAACTCTAACATTGTTATAAGAATGGTGTGGGTTTGAATCCGGATGGGACTCAACCCAACAAAAGTAATAGAATCGGTACTTTACAAAGAAAGTGTAATCCCAAATATAACATATGTTACATTTGACCACTTTCTAAATGGCATTATGTCAGAGGCCCAGATAAGCTGTGTATCTGGGTAAAATACGCATAGAAAATTTCCAATTCGCATTGCAAAAATAATTGTTGTATACCATTTATGCATTTAAAATGTTAGATATGCAAAAAGTTTAAAACAAATGCGTACAGAGTATATTTATAAAAATTGTTTGCGTAATGAAAAAGACATCGATTGCTATCAAATATTAGATACGCAACTCCAAAAAAATGCAGTGGGTACAGTACCCACATGACCTAATTCATATCTGGAGCTCTGATTGTGTATTTCATTGTTATAACAACAAGACATGAAATACAAATAAAAGTCCTACTCAGAAGCCAACAAAGTGATTTTGTCAGAGCCTTCATTCTAAGATCTTCCCGTCTATAAAGAGGGAGGGGTTGGGAGTTTTGGGGGTTGTGGGACTTATCCATGGAAGTCAACTTCTGTCTGATGAGTGAGTTTGGTTTTACGCCGCTTTTAGCAATATTCCAGCAATATCACGGCAGGGGACACCAGAAATGGGCTTCACACATTGCACACATGTGGGGAATTGAACCTGGGCCTTCGACGTAACGAGCGAACGCTCTAACCACAAGGCTACCCCACCGCCCCCTGTATGATGAAGAATACAATGTTTTAAGGTATATTCCTACTCCTTCATCAGGGGAATGAAAGCTAGGGACAGTTCTAAATGCCATTCAAATATTTTAATTTTTGTTTCTTTTATCTATAGCTGGTTAATTGGTTATCACAACTTTGAAAGGATCTGTACCAAGAACTATTTAAAGCGTTGTAACTTACCATAAGTTGGCATAATAGTATCCATGAATGATTTCCGATTCTTTTTCTTAGTTCCACACCGTTCATGCATTATGAAGCTGTACTGCTGACAACGGCGTTTGTGTTGAAAGTGCAAACTAATGGAGTCAAACCCGCGACTCATCCGAACAACTCGGTGACGAAACTTTAAACCAGCAACTTTAACTGAGGATTCAGCACGAAACGAAAGTATTTTTACAATGTCCAGCGAAGTCTGTATACAGACAGTTTGACACTAAATTCTTGTGGCTGTCATCCGTGACGAAACGAACACTCTCGTGGATTAGCAAGTCAACAAGACTTAGTGGCTACGAAAACCCAACTGATTTGCGGCAAATTAGACAGGGGAGGTGTGTATGCCTCCCAGCAAGGAAGACTCTGATTGGGATGGGGGGGTTACGAAACGAAGGACTGGTGATCAGACTAATCAACTGCATGCAATACATTACCTGACAATTTTTCTGTCAAACTCAACAGATCACTTCCTAACTGGAATTTACTTCCTCGTTCACTGCCTCAGGAGAAATGAGAGTTACCTCCCCTAACACAATCAAGGGGCATAATAATAGTGTGAGCCCATTTTGCAGTTTTTTTGTAATCGTAACAAATTTGTCTATGAGTACATGGCATATTCAGAAAAAAATATATTTAATGTAGCGTATTGTGTTTTATTAGTGATCATTTGTAAATTTCTAACCTTTAATATGCCCTCCAGCTGCAACCTCAGTTCAACTTATTGATACTTTTGTATTTTATTTAGCAACAGACAATGGGACTTATTGATTTGTAAGTTCGTTTGTTTTTTGTAAAACAAAAAAAGTCATCTTATTCCTTTGTGTCTGTGCATGTGACTTTGAACTCTGTATCACCTTTCATTGAATATATTTAATCATCTGACTGTATGTCAATAAACAAAAAAAACGAAGATGGAGACAATAGTTATATTCCCACGGTGATTCTCGTTTTTCGTGGTTTCAGTAAATGTCACTACAAATAGACACAAAAGAGGATTCTTGAGGCTTGTGTGGACTTTCAAAAACTTAAATGCGATTGTAGAAACAAGTTAGGCAGTGTCAGATGGGCCACTGACACGTTGATAATTACAGTGTTACAGACCGGGGCGTATTTTGGGGCTGTGTATAACAGCGGTATTGACCTAAGTGCCTTCTGAACTGAATAAACAGGTGTTTATTTTAGCCCTAGCCGTCGCTTCGTGTTTACTGAAGAGGATAAACGCCAAAGGAATTTCGAAATGTATCAAACATTTTCAAAATGCAATTTTATTGAATGTGTGCCAGTTATAGGACAAGCGATAACACCTTGTAAAATGTTACTCAAATGCCGTTTGAAAATTGGTGTATCTTGACTCTCTTCTTCGTTCCACGCGTTTCATGTTTTCTTGCCAATTCAATGAGTTAGTGAGTCTAGTTTTACGCCGCTTTTAGCAATATTCAAGCAATATCACGGCGGGTGACAGCAGAAATGGGCTTCACACATTGAACTCATGTAGGGAATCGAACCCGGATCTTCGACTTGACGAGCGAACGCTTTCACCACTGGGCTACCCCACCACTCTTTTCAATTCAGAGGTTGGTATGTGGATGGGTTGGGGTGTGGTTTTCGGAGGGATGGGTACGTACCGATTTGTTGGTGTTACGCACAGGCAAAGTTGTTCAAGACGGCGCAACACACGGTGCAGAGTTGCGTCCCTTTCGCGTCACAGGATCCAGAGTTCGAAATCCGATTTGATCTCATACTCGTTCTTATGGGTTTCATGAAAGTTGGAAACATCAAAGATCAGATTTTCCCACATTAAGCTGACACGCCGAGATACAACAGAAACAGTTAGACTAACGTCTTAGTATCTAAATATATATACTTGTGATAGAAATAAACAATTCCTTTTCAATTGAAAAGGACTCCCAGTGAGATGGAACATTCAGAACCTGAGGAAATCTAGACTTGTTTAAAGGGCTTTAGAAGGGAAAATAATGTTGACTGTGGGACACACTTTTGAAACTGTTCAAAGCGGTTTCACACCCAACTAACTCATTTTGCGTGAGGTCACATATACTAGATGAACCTGTTTGCTGGAAATATATTTTTGCGATCAGGTAAAAGACATAAAAATGTCGACTTTGGGGTCATTCAGTCAACTGCACAAAAACTACACATATACAATCAATCATTAAGTCCTTTATATATCTGAAATATATCACCATTTGTACGACAATGACAGAGCATGTGAATATTATATTACGTACTAGCTATTAATAACAAATCTCGCCCAAACCCTCAGCTCTCGCGTGACTCGTTGGGAGACCGCTCTAACCAGGAATCACGTAGGGTGACGCACTTAGTATATCTTATCGACGCCCTAAAGGGTTAAATGAATTATTACGCCCGTCAGCCCATATCGTTTTAATCCCTATCACCCGCAGAGTCGAGTTTTTAAACTTGGGATTAAAAAATCACAAATTGTTGCCCTGTCTGACAGAGACAAGAGGTAAATTTCGCTGCCCCGGACATATTTGTTTACATACTTTACAGCTTAACTATACTCAAAACAATACGTGGCCATGTTCAGTTGTAAACACTAAACATTAAAACATTCTTACCACATGCCGCGAAACTGCCGAAAAAAAGAACGAGAATTCCGGGGTTTTTTCATGATGCCAAAAGTGTCTATTTTACAAAAATGAAAAAAACCTTTATACTTTGACAACAGATAAAAGATTTTAGAAAATATACAGAAATGCTTCGGGACCTATTCTGTCGTGATATACCAACAGGGTTCGTATACACGGGTTACGTGTGTTTGTTAAGCGCTTGTTAGAGGTGTGAAAATATCACAGAAAGACCCTCCTCTTTTCCCAGATACTTTGCACCCGGATGCTGTTTCACGTTTGTTATTGATTAACTGACACAATTATTTCGTTTCATGCACACGGTGTAAGTAAATATATCATTGATATCATTATACAAACACTTGCTCTCTGTTATGTAGGTAGTGATATCGTTCATAATTATACTAAACGATTGATATTATCAATTATTTATTGTCAATATTTTGTTCCTGCTATTAATTCAGCGAATAATCAGCTTAAAATTGATTTCGTGAGATCAGTATTTCGCTAACTGATTGTTAAATGATTTAAAGAAATAATACGATCGACTGATTTAAGTATATCAATACTCATTGTAAGTAGAATAACTGACATAATTTCTTTACTCACGATGTCAATTTCTTACTGATATCGGGTTGATGTTTTTTTAAAATGATATCATTTGAGAAAAATGACGTCATAAATTCTAAGATGCGTCGCTTAAAGATCAAAGGTGCCGAAGTGACATTTCTTTTGCATATTACGTCACACTGTATTGACGTCACTACGCCACTCCAGTCTGCCCCCTCGTAATCAAACGAGTCCTTGGTAACCGACGTCACGATGCAAGTTTTTGTTATGATTTAGTGCACATGACGTGGTCACGTGACTTGATCCAAGGTGTCGGTTGTACCGAAATAGAAATGTGGCCCCTTTAATTTCGTCATAACCGTAGTTTATTTATCTCTGTAATGCAACAGCTTAAAATGAAGCTTGTCTAAATTCTCCTCACAATGAGGCTGAAGGGGTCGTTGTCGGCACGGGTACTACAGATATGTACCCCAGGTACGTTTCTGTATATAGAAACGTACGTTGGCCATAATGAGAATACAGAAACGTACCCTAGGAAGATTCCATTCCCATTGTGTCGTATTCTTGATCGGAACTGTCATGCTGTTGTATTAGATACATTTGATTGCGTTATCTAAGTAATGAGAATACACAGGAACGGATATTTCGCGATGCATATGAATACCACTCGGAATCAGTTGAACGGGAACAACTACATACGGTTTCGGTTTTGGATTGCGGAATATGGACTCGTCCGGCTTTTAGGGTACCGGGTACGTTTCTGTAGTTTGACTTTGTTTGGGGAAGATATCTGTATACAGAAACGTACCTGGGGTACGTATCTGTAGTACCTGTGCCGACAACGACCCCTTCAGCCACAATGAGGTCCTAAATCACCCATAGTCGATCTCACAGTCCCTATATCACTTTATTGTCCCTTCCGCCCAGTCCTTTCTACAATGCCCAAGCCTAAATGAAGCAAGTTTAGATTGATTTCCTTAGGTTCAGGTTCTGCATCTCCCATCTCACTAGGCTCCTTTTCAATTTAAAAGGAGTATATTTTTGTCAAAATTATTTATAATTCAGAGACGTCAATCTAAATCACCAATTTTACTGAGGTCCTTTTCAGTTAAGATGGATCTATTTGTCTGCATTATATATTTTCAGGGACAAATGGTTTATTTAGACTTACTCAAAAACCCGCATTTCATAGCAACAACTTATATCAAGGAACCTCATAGGGAATCCTTATATAATACTCCAAGTAAGGCTTTGTCCAAGCAGAGGGATGGTTGACCCGTTTCCGGCCTAAGTAGGGTCAATGTCGGGTCGTGAGGGGTCAAGGCTGCAGGATGGACGACTCTGGTTTCTGTGTGGTGTATCAATGTCTATAAGTATCCAGTATCATTATCCTCATGTGTGTAAGTAATTGTACAGCGTAATTTCCCGACAGTCTGATCATAATCGAATTTCCTTTGTTCTCGGTCAGCTCTCATTTTTGTCTAACTAGCTCGGACTCGGTAATAATGTAATTATATAATCGCTTCAAAAGGGCCGGGATAGCCGAGTGGTAAAAGCTTTCGCTCGTCACGCCAAAGACCCGGGTTCGATTACCCTCATGGGTAAAATGTATGAAGTCTATTTCTGGTGTCCCCCGTGAAGATATTGCTGGAATGTTGCTAACATTGGCGTAAAACCTACTCACTCACTCACGCATGTCAATGAATTTGAGTTAAATATGACTTTTATATCACTTGCTTGATAATGGTCTCAGTACCTCCACGTCTCGCTCATTATAATATAGAATGTGTAACTATCCCCCTTTATATTTTAACGACTCACTGCCTCTTGAAGAATAGGGTAGCATTTCTATATATTTTTTTTCTCATGCCCCGTCCGACTCTTCTAATTTTATTGCCTACCTTTTCTCACACGCACACATACACGCACACACACCCACCCCACCCCCCCACCCCAAACTCAACTTTTTTTTCATTTCATTCCAGCACCGCCGACTTGAACCTAAAGCGTACCGCCTCGGCATATAAAATGGCTATCTATCTAAAATGTTTAATCAGTCGCTGCCACAAGTCCAAAGAACGCGAGAAATTTTAATAAGAATTACAATAAATGAGAATCAAGAACATTATTCTGATAATTTTGTCTTTATTAACATTTTTAAATAGTTTTTTTCCCCGACCGACAGACCCAGAATTGGTGGCTACGTGAAACATATAAAAAAACAT